GGAAAAGATCGGAATAGGCAGAGTGCCCTGGCCGCTGATTGAATAACGCCACTCGAGGTGCGATCGGACTAGTTCGGTGACGGAAATTGCCAATCTTGAGCTTGAGAGAAACTCGTAAAGCAGTTCCTTAATTTGGCCAAGATAAAATGCAGCTGAAATAATTTATTAGCGACTATAAAGTGCGACAAAGGCGACAAGGTGAAGGCGAACATGGAGTGTAATTGTGTGAGCTTTTATAGAAATTTAAGTCTCTTAAAGAATTAAAGAACAATTTAGGTATAAAATATATACAAATGATTAATTATGAATTACTCAAAAGAGAACACTTCCTTCTGGGATTGATTTATGGTCTATTAATTCACGAAATGTAAATAAGGTGCCTTTGCAATAATTGATTTATTTATGATTTAATTATTTAGTTTAAGGAGTTGTTCTCTAGGTGTATATTAAGCGAATAGTCATATCGAAATCTTTAGGAAATTGGCATACAATTTCCGATAAATATTTTATTTTAAAGCCCCTACACCTAACTTGTCTAATGCATTGTACCTTAAGTACTTGAAACCATATTTATGGCTAAAATATTCCCAGGAGCTGCCAAAAAATAAAACCTGTTGCTCGAAAACAGTTCCAAAAAAACTCCATGTAATGCCAAAACTTTCGCCAACTTCCCTTAACGAACTCGCGGCCGTTTAATCACAAATCAACTTTCACGCCCCCGAAAAAAAAAAACCTCCCAGCAGCAGCCCGCACTCGAAAAACACTTGAAAACTGTGAGCCGCTGAAAAATATGAACTCTCGTCTCTCTTGAGCGCTCACTTAAAGCTAGCCACATTAATCTACAATTACTTTGTATGGGCCATGGCCGATGGCCAAGACCGAAACTGAACCTGGGGACCCCAGAAAAATGACTCAATTTAAATCAATAAAAGGGCTCGCTAACCGCCAGGGTAACGGATCCCCTATTCCCGATCCCCCATCGGAGCACATGGTGACCCCCAGCTTAAACCTACCGTCCGGATGGCCGCATACGAGTGCCAGATCAGACGCGGACTGAGGGGCTGCGGATCGTAGCGAAGGCGGGCATATTGCTTCATGAATATTTTCCAGATTACATAAGCCATCGCAGTCGGCGCTTCTCCGTCAGCGTCTCCGGTCATAAAGATCGATATCCACATGCAAATTATATGCGTGCCAGGAAACCGCCGGCAGTGCCAATCCAGATTTGGGTTCGGGCCGGGATTCGCGCGGGGCCCCGGTTAATGCGTAGTTTGTGTTGCGTTTATTGTTTTCATAAATAAAGAAAAGTAAAATGGAAATGCACCGAAAAGGCACTCCGAAATTTGTCGGTTCGCATTATTATTATTATTATTATTCCTTATTATTATCGCTGCAATTCACTTGGCAGACGGATTCACTTCATTTTTCACGGCACCAAAAAGAGAGGCAAACAAAAAGGAACCACTGTCCGGAGCCAACAAAGGCACAAGGCAGGGCAGTGTGGCACAGTGAGCCCCTTTCCTGGGCCCCCTCCTCCTCCTCCTCTTTCGTGATCTTGTGTATTATTTTAATATTTATTTACATTTGAGCATTTTGCATAACGCGCGGGTCACGACGGAAATCGTCGGCTGGCAATTTATCAATACATAGTTGTTTCCCCCATTTGCCCAGAGGAAGGAGACGGAGTCTGGCCAGAGTTGGGGCCAGAAAGGTTCGGTTGCGCGGAGGGCAAGAAATCAAAACAAATGAAAAACGCGCCAAAAAATCAAAACGCGCACAGATTTTTTGCCTCGATTTTTGTTCGTTATTTTTTTTTTTTTGGGGGCGAGGAGCGCGATCAATGGGAAAAACGTCAAGAGTTGAACCGGGGACCTCCGCCGGGCCTGCGTCTCAGTCCGGGAAACAAGTTCAAAGCGTTTGCGGCGGCCGCTTTGCACCAACTAAATTGAAATGAGGCGAGCGCCAAATGGAAATGGAAAAGCCCCGGCGAATCGAGGGTGTAACTCACAGATACTCGCCGATGCCGCGATACCCATCCCGTTTTCCACCCCGCGCTGCCATTGCCAGGCTTCAATGATTTTCCATGCGTGCGAACGGCGCTTTGTACCAGCGCGTTATTTGAATTTGGCCTGGGCCATTGCTGTTTTTTATACTGTTGCTTTGGCTGGGCTGCGATTCGAGCCGAGCTCAGCTGACTCAGAGCCGCCTGAGAAAAGCTCGTGGAGGAACGAACATCAATGGCAACAACAATAAACACAACACACCCACAATTACCGGTGATTTATAGTGACACAGCCAAGGATATCTTGACTTTGTTAGGAGGTTGGTGGCTGCATTAGCTTGTATTTTTTACTTAGAAGTTCTAATTATTATTTAAATTAATTCAAAATTTTTAACTATAACATTTTCTTATAAAATATGAAGGAAAGACATAAAATATATATTAATTATACGTTTATTTTGTTGTATCTCTGAAATTTTACAGATAAATTACAGCTAAAAGTCAAATAATTATAATCCAAACTCACTATCTTTATTTTCTCAGTAAACAAATAGTAAAATATATAGTTTCCCTCCCAAAAGGGTATCTAATGATCCGGCTTTTAGAAATCCCAAACTATCATTCGGTTCCATTTAGTCAGTATTTTCAGCGGGGGACGAAGTCGAGGTCTGTTTTATGCACAATGTTATTGTTTACTCCGCTCCATAACCCCCACCCGCTGGCGGCCCATCCCTCGACCGGTATTGTGGATGGTCGGATAAAGCATCATATAGACATCTTCAACTCCTGCCTTGAACTTGGCAAGTTCGCATGTACAACAGTATAGCATATATATGAGTATATAATAGGGGCTGCCCATATATTTTGTTTGCTACTTTGTCGGTGTTTAGCTTATGCCTTTTGACAGGCATTTGTTTACGGTCTCAGGCTAAGGCTTTTCAGGAAAAAGGCACCCAAAGAATACAGAGCTAACGAGCTCCGAGCTGGAACTTGGGTTCCTGGCTTCGAGATCCCCCAGCGATTTTGTTAATCGGAACACGCGATGAGTGTTTACTCCCGCCTCAGTTTCAGTTTCACAAATCTGAAAACTTGGAGTGCGAGAGTGAGAATAAACATTTGCCGGAGCGGCGGTATAAACAATACGGGCCGTCGCACCGAGGGCCATAAATATAAGTATTAAGTGCTCTTCCCGGTGGGTCTGCTGCCATAATTCCATCTGTAATAGGAACGAGCGCTGGCCTAATGTTTTGGGCTGTGAGCAAGGGTATCAATATTTCCGCCAATTAATAACAATTAATTTTTCCGACCCAAATGCGGGTTGCAATTGTGAGTCACACAATCGTGATTTCAAGCTTAGATACACATATTTGTATGACTATTAATAATTAACTGAAATCAAAGCAAAGTTGGTAATTGTGGGTAAAGTGCAGGGTTAAAAGGGTGAAGATAACTACTCAATCTGCATCTAATTAGTGTAAATTTTAAAACCTGTTTCACCTGTTGAATAGTATTTCCAAACTATTGGACTCTCTTGAATATTAGAAAACTCTTTAATATGCCAGGGGCTTAACCCCTACGTGCTCTGCTTGAGATCCGCATTGTTACAAACACAAATATTTCGAAATCGCACAAATGCCAACTACAGATAATTGCCAAAAATCACCGGCAGAGTCAACTTTCATAAAACGGCATTCAATTTGATTTGCACAATTTGGGGGCTCTTAACGGCTCCTCGTCTGTCGGCTTTTCAAATATATATGTGTATACTGTTATTTTTTTGCCTGGCATTTTGGCGTTTGTTTGAATTGATAACAGGCTGGAAGTGCCTTTCAGCCTGACAGCCATAATCGCTCAACGCCAACTGTTTTTTTTCTTTTTTTTTTCAGCAGCAAGGTGGGGTAAGTAATGGAAATGGAGTAGTTTTTGGGGTAGTTGGGGCGCCAGGGGTTGTAACTGGGAACCAAGCCTATGTCTCCGGCAGGTCGATGGACACACCCACCCGGAGAGTGGAGAGTGGAGAGCGGAGCATGGAGAGCGGAAAGCGGAAGCGGAACAAAGCCTCAGACAGTTGGACCCCACAGACCGCAGACCTCTTGATGGAGAAATTATAGCGAGTCACGCGAGTGCGAAACTTTTCTAACCCTTCTGCCTCCTGCCCTCCGAATTAGTCGCCTTCCGAGGCGCCGGCTGTGCCCCGATTCACAGGAAAACCAGAATTAGCTAAAAAATTGCACCGAAAGCCCGAAATGATTGTCTTTAATTGAATTCACTGCCAGACCGAATAACTTTTAATTGAATTCCGGCTAAAGTCTAGAACTTGGCGAGGTGAGGTGATGACCCACTTGGGATCAACCGAAGGATGTGATGCACAGAGAAAAAGTGAGGTAAGATTTGTTATTTTAAATAAAAATATTTGCTTTATTTATCTAATAATTAATTAATTAAAATATATACCAAAAATCTACAAACTTGAATCATTTTAAACCTTACAAAAACCACTTAATGGTTTAAGTAAATATTATTTACGTAACCAGTTTCACATTTATTTTTATTACCTGGCAAACTGTAAGTTACAGCTGTAAGTTGTGTGAACAGACCTTTTTGTTAAAACAAACCCTGGTTAAAATTAAACGGATTTCCAGGTTTTGCAATTAATAGTTAAAATTATAACCTGTAAATAGTTATTTATAGAAATTCCAATCAGTTGCATATACTTTTCTATAGGGCTAAAATCTATTATAAACATTTGTAATCCAACTGGTACTTTACGGAATACCTAGTAATATATTTTGTATATGTAATATATATTTGAGATCATATCTATCTATCATCAACCGCATATATTTAGACTTTATTCACATCTTAACCGTGTCTAGTAGGTTAAATTCTTTGCTGTTTATCCTTTTATTTCAAAGCAAAAAGCTTTGTTTACCAGGTATCCCATAGTCGAGCAACTTGTGTCTCTCTAAGTTCCTGTAATTTTTCACCGTGCACTCACATTACTTCGTCTCCTGGCCAGGCGGCGCTTAATCCATTTGAGCGCCTCCTGGCGACCACGGGCAAAGGACATGCTGCTGCGGTGCCAGAGGTGCAGGGCGATGATGAGGAGGCGCTGCACCCAGACTCCGAACCTCTCGCGGCTGGGCAGCTTGAACATTAAGCCGGGCACAATTGGCACTCAATTATCATAACTTTTGGGGGATTTTCGTTTCGGATTTAGGCGTAACTCCTTGGGGGACCGACCGGGAAACCGGGACTCGTAGAATTTCACTTTTATTTCAGGGGGCGGTACGCGGACTCGTTGTTACTTCAGTTGCGTTTGTTGTTTGACTGAGAATGCCGCTCTGTTCACTGGGGCTGGGGCTCGTGTCTCTGGTATGCCTCGGTTTCTCGACTGGGGAGAGCGAGAGCTCTGCAGTTGCGATTGTCACCGGCGATACACTCACACTTTTTGTTGCTTCCCAGCTTTTCAGCGTTTCGCGTTTTGTTTATACGATACCTTATTTGTGGGGCCCGCGTGCGTGTGGCTTACTAAGAAACCGCCGAGCTATGGAGGTACATAAGTAATGCAGGGAGCCACAATACAAAAACAGAGACACAAATTGAAAAAAATCGAAACCGTTTTTGCATTCAAAGCACACTGCTGCACCGCTCTTTCGAGGCCTGAGCACCGAATACTCCTACTTTTTAACTGAGCTTTGCACTCAATTTGATTGCCGGCGGCAGAGGCCACAACAACAACAGCAACATTAGCAACAACAGCAATAACATGTGGGCACGCAGGGGAAGCCCAGCTAACGGTGAAGGCGAAGGTGCTCGGCCTAGGCATAGTGGTTCAAGTCAGGTAAATAAAGGTTCAGGCCCTACAGCAGGGATCGGTCTTAATTTGATCATTATTTATTATTTAGACCAAAACTGAGCCCAGCTCTAATTTTAGGTCCAAGGAAGGGACTCACCACTTAAATAATTTATTATTTATCATTTACCATGGTATGGATTCGTGAGGATTCTACACGATTCTTCCCTGATAACTGATGTCTTTTTAAATCTCTTAGAAAGCCAGATTTCTTAAGATTTATTGATAGTATTTAACTTTATATTGCAGCTTTTAAACTATCTTTCGGTAATTTAAAACATAACTTACCTTATTTTCTATTAAGAATTTTGAGACTGATGCTAGAGTTCTTAGGACTTCTGAGGCACTCAATTGTAAAAGCATTGCATATTTAGTGGGATCTACCTACATAGTAGATGAGTTTCCATCAGAGGTCCACAGTGACCTAATTATAAATCTAAAACTAAAAATATATTATAATATATATAACATTATATTTATTTATTTATCCAAAGCTTACAATTGATTTGAACCTAAGATCTACCTTGGAGCTAAGAGCCATAGTAGCTTAGGCCTTTATCTCTTGCTAAAAATGTATGATCTTTAATAATAATATCTATAATATAATGCACCCTTTTCCCGGTTCCTGACCCACTGTACCCACTCCGTTCACTCCGTGGGCGTTTCTAGGCGATTCCCTTACAGCTGGTGCCGCTAGGCGACGAAGGCGAACAAGTGTTTTCGGTTGCTGTTATAAAATGTGCGAAGAAGACGACCAAAGCCCATGGAACGTCCATCGAAAAGCTTTTCAGATTAATGCTGCCTGCCTGTCCGTGTTGTTATTTTGTTATTTACTGGCTCGTTGTTGGTGTTGCCTCCGTTGCTAGTACGGTTATTTATTTATTTATGCTAATGTTGCTGCTGCTGATGGCAGAGCAGTAGCTACCGAGGCAGAGACAGAGGCGCTGACGTTGCATTTGCATTGTTTAGAATGAGAACAACGAGAAAACGAAGCCAACAACAACAAAAAAAAAAAAAACAGGGCAAAGACAACAACAATTACAACAATGAAAACACCAACAACAACACGACAAGTGGCACTCACGCGACAAAAGCCCATAAATAAAGTGTTCTCATGGTTATCTCGTTTTCCATGCGATATTTTCGAGTATCTCCAGTATATGCACAAGGAGAAAAGGGATATTAATATATGAGATTATAATTTAAATTTTAAAATTTTAAAATTAATATAAGCTAAGATAATTAAACATTGTCAGAGCAATATATTATGCCGTCTAAAAACCAGAACCTTTATAATATCTACTATAATATTTTATTATATATGTCTTAAAATTAAAACCATATTTTCTTAAATTTCAAATACATTAAAAACTAAAATCAATAAATCGTAAAAATCCACAGAAATTCCTGAAGGTGCATTTACATTTTAAATACGAGCACAAAGAAAGTTTGAAGTTCCCACAGCGGTGGAGAAATTGATGAAAAATTCTCAACACGTTCAGCAGCTGTTTCTCCGCCTCCCTTTGATGGGCAGGCAGATCACCTGTCTCCGCCACTGTGCACCAAGGTATGGGTTCTCACCTGATCGGAGAACCTAATATGTCGCCACTTAATGGATTTCCCTAAGCCATTGTCGAAGCAAAACAAAATATTGAATATTGCAGGGTATATATTTGCCATTTTATTTTCAAAATTTTATGAGGGGTAACATCGTTAAAATTAAAAAAAATATAACAGTAAAAACTTTTCTATAAATATAAATATAAATAAATCTATAAATACAGTAGCAAAGTAACCTTTGCAAAAAGGTTCACATCATTTTTCAAATACAAACAATTCCTGTTTCCAAAAACCGATTGGGCACTTCCTGCTTCGAATATTGTTATTTATATATTTCAATACTCTGGCACCCGACAACATGAATCCTCCCACTGTGGACAAGGAGACCGCGGAGAAGATTCGCCACCACCTAAGCAAGGAGGAGCTGGAGCGTCAGATGCACAGCATTCATGGTCAGGGTGACTCACAGGAGGTCAGAGGTCGGAATTCCGGTAACAGTAGCAACTCGCAGGCTTCCGGAAGCGGTAATACCGCCGAGACCGATGGAGCCCGCCAGGAATCGTGGATTTTCGAGAACGTTGGAGGCTACTATATGCCCATCGAGGATGTGTCCAAGGTCTCTCTGGCCCCGCAGGAGCAGCTGCTGATGCGGAACCTGATCTACGCCTTCTCAGGAGTTCCATCCTCGTACATCACGCCGGATATTCCAGCCGATAAGATCGCAGAGATGACGGCGGTGGAGATAGCCAAGGTGCGTTTCCGCGTGGACGATGCATTCAACGGAGCCTTTCGGTCGCTGACCAGCAATGTGCTGCCCCTGATCGGGTACTACATCTGTGTGCAGAGCTTCATCGAGGAGACCAACATGACCCCTAACTGTAGCCGAACCCGCCTGGCCCTGGCCACAGCCCTCAGTGATCAGATGGAGGACTACTACAAGCTGCAGTCGAAGTTGGAGACGGATCTGAACGACCAGAAGTTAAACCTCAAGGAGCTGGTGCGACAGGTGCGCCCTTGGCTGGCCAGCCTCAAGGTGTTCGCCAGCATGGCCTGTAGCTCCCGGGACTCGCTGAACAGTGCCCAGCTACTGACTCTGCTGGACGAGTTCTCCAAGGAGCAAAGGGTCACCTCACCGGATCTCAAAGAACGGGTTGCCCAGATCATGGCCAAAGTTACTTATACCTACATGAAGATAGTCCAGTTGTGGACCCAAAAGGGCATTCTCTACGACGCACAGCACGAGTTCTTCGTGGAGGACACCGAGCGCTCCAATGCAATGAGCAGCACGCTGTTGGCTCCGGAGCAGTGTTGCCACGCCTACTGGTCAGATCGGTACAACCTGATTCCCGACCGTCTGCCCTCCTTCCTGCTGGACCAGGCTCAGAAGATTTTCCTGGCCGGGAAGTACCTGAACATACTGCGCCAGTGCAACGTGACGATGAAGCTGCTGCAGAAGCCGCTGAGCTATGTTCCCAGGGAGACGGGCCACTTGGAGATTATCCAGGAAAGTTACCAGCTGCCAGCTGGTAAGCTTTTGGAGGTGATAAAGGAAAAGCACCTTGGCGCGCACCTGCGCAATATACGCGCATATTTTCTGCTGCAAATGAATGGCTTTGCCGAGACCCTGCTGGACAAATGCCAGGAGCAGCTCCAGTGCAATGTGGACACATTGATTCCCGAGAAGTTACAGAACCTGCTGTCGGAGTCCCTTCAGAAGTTCAATGATCCCTTCAAGGGGATGCTGCGCTGCCAGCTAAAAGCCTGCGACGTGGCCACCCAGCTGGCCAGGGGACAAACCGAAATGGAGGATGAGGTCCCCGATGTTCTTCGCCTGTACGGCTACGAGTCCTTGGCCCTGCGCTACGAGACCAAGTGGCCGCTGAGCCTTGTGCTCCACTCTCAGGTGCTGGAGCAGATGCAAGTCATCCAGCGTGTCCTGCTCTTCCTGCGCTACGTGCACCGCACCCTGACCCTTTTGTGGCAGTCGCCCGCCGACGGTGCTGCTCTCAAGAAAACGGACCAGTCTGGGGAGCTTCGCCAGCGCATGATGCTGTGCATTCTGAACCTGGAGCAGCACATTACCGTAGACATAGCAGAGCCACGATGGCAGTCGCTGCTTCAAACGGTGGACAAGGCCCAGAATATAGACGAGGTGCTGACCAAGTTCGAGGACACCGTGGAAGAGTGCCTGAACCTGGGTCTACTCTCTTCTGCCAACACATTTGTGGCAAGTCTCTTCACCCTTGGTCACATATGCCTTAACTTCTGCGGCTTCGTGGAGTCTCCGCCGGTGGCCAGCAGCAGCGAGCAGTTTGACCAGGTCATCAGGGAGTACGAGGAGGAATTTAGTAGCTTTATGACCACCATCCTGGAATTGGTGAAGCAGCTGGGCAGTCCCAGTGGCCAGGAGGGCGAGCGACAATCCTGCAAGCAGCTGCTCCAACGCCTCGAGGACTACACTAAAAAGGTAGAGGGGCTGCCCAACTAGGGAAGGTGCAGTTCCAAAAGAATAGATATAACATACTAGTCACACTCGTTTTGTTTTCCGTGTTTTGGCTCAGAAGCGTGTCCAGCGTTCCAGCCAAATCAGCCATGCCCGCAAATGCCCAGCAAAACTTTAAATGAGCCGTGAAATCCATGAAGCAAGGCTGGGCTTACACTACACTGTAAAAATTGGGCTTTGGACACTGGATGATAGAGCTATGAGCCAAAAATAAATGTAATTTTCGTTTAAAAAAAATATAAATAAAGTAATGTAAAAACTTAAAAATATAAAAGGCTGTACAAATGAAATAATGAATCTCTTATTTAAGATATTTCTTTCTTTGCTCTAACCTTTTTTATAATAATCATAATGATCATAATTATATAACCCCATTTTCTAGTTAACTCTTTAAGCCAGAAATATGTGATGAACCTTTTCCGGAGACCGTGTGAGCTTGGCATATGGGTATGACACCTGTACGGTGTCTGCAATTTCCGATCGCCACGCTCGCCTCACCGACTCACAATGGGCGTGAATAATCGATGTGTGTTTAATTTCTGGCCGGCGATCGCTTATGTCGAGTCACGGCGGCGGGGCTAGTGCAACGAAAACGCCGATTTGCATAAGATCGTAAATTATTTTAAATGGCGGTAAACAGATTTTAATGCAGCCCCCCTGGATGATGGTCCTGCCGGGCTGCCAATTTGAATTCAAAGGCCAATTGTTATGTAAATGCACTTGCCTCAGTTGCAGACGCAGTTGCACGCAGCCTCGCAGCCGCACAAATTTCGTGTACTCGCGTATTAATAAATAAATGGAAAACGCAAGAGCGAATGCCTCTGTCCAGAAATCACTTAATACTTATCGCTTTAAGGACAACAGGTGGTCGACAACGATGACGCAACAAAACCCAGCTCCGACTGGGGATAAACTGCCCCGAGCGGGCCAATAATAATGCACTCGGAATTATGGTAAAGTTCAGATGCATTGCTTCCGAAATGTATATCATTATCTGCTTGCGAAAATGATGGACTGCCGCTGTCGGTTTGCATTTAGTCCGATGAAGTTGGAGCGCCTGAATGGAGCTGGAGTGGAGTGGGTTGCATTGGAGTGCCCTGGCCAGAGGTACTACTATAAATACTCGTTGTATGGCCGTGGGAATTCCCCAGCTTGGCTGGAAGATCAGCTACTTACTTATGGGGGCAGGTTCATTAAACCCGGGGCACGCCTCGTCCGAGGGATGACTTCATTTGCGATTGGCTAGAAATGTCATAAACTTGAACCCGCCAGCTGGCCACCGAGCGGAAGCAGGCTTCAAGGTTCACTAGGCCCCTAATTGAGAGCCGAATTTAGTTTTTGGCAAAAGGCCAAAGCCATTCAGCCATTAAGTCAGTGTTGGGTGGGCCAGCGCATCAGGGTGCTCTTTAGAAAGCTAAAAAATTGAGTACATTGAGGAAAACTAAGCCTATGGCTTTATGTTTCAGATAAATAAATAAAAGAAAATATGATAACCAAACCGAACTCTTTGACATTTAATTTTATATTTAAAATAATTCCACTTATCCCTTTCAGTTTATCCCAAATTCACCCCTCATAAATATACAAATCCATGCCTATGCTTATCCCTTCGAGCTCTCAAAAAATATCTACAACATTTACTAACAGAATATAAGCATTTTGAAACGATTTTAACACAATCACAAGTCCATTATTCTCCGAGACGACCCATTATACCCGTCTCCACAGTTTCCATTTCCACGTTAATGTCGCTCGATCTGGTCTCGGATGTCATGGTGTCCGGGAATCCATGCTGGCTCGTTGACTCCCCCGAATGGTTGTGCAGGAACTCGTAGCCGAACTGGCACTCGTTGATCTCACCGCTCTCGCACTTCTCCTTGTACCAGAGTAGCCGATCCGTGTTCCCGCCCAAGGACTGGTCAAGCAGCTGACGCCGCTGGCGGCCCCGTTCCAGGAACTCTATGTAGTCGATGGACTTGAACTCCTGGAAGGTGCCCAGCATCTCGAAGGCATCCTCGCAGACCTTCTCGTAGCTGTCGGACATGGCAATCTCGCGTTGCACCCGCTCCTGAATCATCTCACTGCGCTGCAGGTCCGGCACCTCGGCCGGCAGGATGCGCGACCGGATGGTGGCAATGTCGTTGTCCACGCTGGCCAGCACATCCCGGTGGGACTTCTTTTTGGCCTCCTCGTAGGCCAGCTGCTCCTTCTGCAGCGCCGTTTCGCGGGCCAGCTTCTCGGGATCCATCTGCTTGCGGGACATCAAGATGGTCATCATGCGGTTCAGGTTCAGTTCATCCCAAAGCACGGCCATTCTCTCGTTGTAATTGCCACCTAACTTGCCCTTGGTGCCTTTGCTGGTGGAATTAAATTAAATAATATAAATTTAAAGAATATAAAAATTTTAAAATAATTAATTAAGACTTGCCCTTGATCCCCCTCCCCACCCTCCTCTCCCTTGGCGCCCTTCTTTCGGTTGGCAAACTGCTCCTCCCGCTCGATGCGCTCCATCTCCTTGCGGGTCTCCTCCTCCGCCTCCCGCTTCGCCTCGATAATATCCTTGTTGAGCTCGTAGTACTTGTGCTCCCACGCCTGAATGCTCATCTTGCGCCGCTCCTCTTTGAGTACGTATTCCATCAGCTTCTCCAGCTCATTGTTCAGTGGCACATCGAAGGAGTGCGGCAGCTTAACCATTCGGATGCTGCTGTTGTAGTCTCCAATGCCCAGGATCTTGTGCGGCAGCGATGGGCGGTGCTCCGTGATTCCGGTGATAATCCCACCGCCAAGGATCTCGATGAGGCAGGCATCGTCGTCGCGAGCTAGGCAGGGAAAATCAGAAACAAATCCTAACCACTTGTCCCTTGAGACTCACCTAGGATATCCCAGGCTTCCAGGATGCCATCCATCCTGGTCACGTACAGGACAGCCGGTCGCGTCTCGCTCCAGGCCACGGCGGTAAGGTCACAGGCCCGCTGCCGCCAGAAGATCGGCGAATAGTTGTAGTCCTCCTTCCAGATGGCCAGAATGGTGCGTCCGATGGAAGCAAAGAGCTGGGGATAGAAGGGATTCTTTTTCACCATCACCACTGGACCATCGTGCACCCGGGCGAATGGGATGGAGCTGTTGATGACCTCCGTGGGGTCGCCCTCCGTGTAGGTGCCCTGCCACTCGATCCGGTTGATGTGGCCGTAGAACGTAGAGACGATCATGCTCTGGCGGAGATTGGGCGGATCCTTGGCTATCATCTTGGTGGGATAGTTGTGCGGATTGGTTTGAATAACCTTCGGAATCGGGGTCAGGCAGCTGAAGCTCGCGGTATCCGCTATGATCCCTGTTATGGGCTCGGGAAAGTAGAGATTGTAGGTCGGCTTGATCATCTGCAGCTTGTAGGAGGACTCGCTCTGGGTCAGCTGCTTGGGCAGCATGCGGCTGCGCATCTTTTCCTTGGCGGCCTTTCCAGCGCCACCGTCCAGGTTCCAGAAGCTGATGGTTCCGCCGAAGGAGCACGTCACGAAGAACTTGTGGGTATTCTTGGGGTTTGGATCGTTGAAGACCTTCCCGAAGTGGTTCAGGTAGATCGAGGAGCCCAGCCAGTAAAAGGCCGTGATGGGGCCTTTGGGAGAAGTGGGCAGCATGGACGTGGTGGCCGGCGAGATCCGGTTGTCCTCCAGCTCGATGGTCCAGTTGAGAAACTCGCCAATCATCGTCCGGTACTTGGCCTGAGCGGCGGTCAGGTACTCCTCCTCATCCAGCCTCTCGCAACGTCCTTGCAGGTCCCACAGGACCACCTGGCCGTTCCTGCAGCCGCCCAGCAGGATGTCGCCATTAAACGGGCAGAAGGTCAGCGCGGTGTTCTCGATCTGCGCATCGAACTCCAGCTTGTAGTTCAGGTTGTCCGAGAAGCTCCAGAGCAGCACGGGATTGGGTTCCAGCACCGCACGCTGCACGTAGTCCACGCGGTTGGTGGCCTCGTTAATGGTCGCTGGAGTGCTGAAGGCGTAGGACACCGCAATCAATCCCGAGAGATTCGGATACCAGTCATAGCCGGCCACGTAGCGCTTGTTGCTCTTGGAGATGTTGGCAAAGCAGAGAAACTCCTGCAGGTACGGATTGGTGTACTGCACCACCTGACGCGAGGAAATCAAGGAGTAGTCGTCCCTGAAATATAATGGGTTTACAGGAAATCCTCCGTCATCCTTTGCATATAATTATCTATAACCCACCGGTAGCTATCGATCTGATTAAAGTCCAGCGTGTTGAGCAGCATCTGGATCTGCGAGGACATCTCCGGAGGCGGCTTCTCTGGAGCCACATATGTTCCTGCCTTGGCTTGGGCCTTGCGCTTCTCCTCCTCTTCGTCCACGTCCGTTTCATCCAGCTCGAGGTCTGTGGTCAGGATCATAGATTAGGTTATTCATTGGAAGATTTGAAACCCACCTTCATCATCGATCTCGTAGAGGTACTGAGACCAAGCGTTCGAGGGAAATGTGGGGTTCGTCTGCTGCTCCCGGTCGATCTTTGGAGGAGCTGACTGGACAGCAACTGTGATCCGCTTTTTAGTCACATTCTCCCATTTGATGTTCTCGTTGGGCAGCAGCTCGATGACTCCATCTCGAACATCCCGGGTCAACCTGTAGTCGAAGATCACGTGCGGCGGCATCTGGATGGGGTAGACGCTCTGGATCTCCACATCGATGGGCTCCTCCTTGAAGTGCTCCACCATGATGGTCATCTCGTCCTCGGTGCCCTGGCTGACCCATCGGCGAGGCTTCTTGCGGAGGCGACGCTGCATGCGCCAGCGCTCAAAGTGCTCCATGTTTTGGATGATGCCCATGGCCAGCTTCGACTCCTTGATGCTAGAGTAGAAGATGAAGGGATCGCCCTCGGGCGGATCGTCGTCCTGCTCAGTCAGGAGGGGGCAAAAGCCAATCAGAACGAAGTGCTCCGGATTGAAGCTCTTGAACTTCTTTATCAGGTCAGCCGAGTTCTCCAGCTCGTCGAAGAGGACATCGCGCAGGTCTTTGTACTGAACCTGCTTCCAGGGGAACTCCTGGGTAACATTGATGCCCACCTCGATCTTTAGGATCTTCTGAACCTTCTCTCTAAATAAAATGAATGAGAGATGGTGTTATTGAGGAAGAAGTTATTCTGTGAGGGTTACTACTTACGACACCATGACCTTCTGGCAGCTGGCCAGGCTCATAAGAGTTCGCCATGACTCCGCCACATTGTAGAGGTTCCTCGGGTCGCCCACATCCTCGTCGGAGTCCGGCTCCTTGAACTTCTTCATGTAGGGCTTCTTGCTCCGGGACACCTGGGCGGCCGTGCCAGAGGTATCCGTTCCCGGCTCCTGATCCGGGAGGGTAAACTCCATATCGGCGTCATACTCAATCCGTCCCGATCCCGAGGCTTCCAAGTTCGACATGGTTGAGTCTGCCTTCGGTTCTGTTTCCCTTAGAGTTGTTTTTTTTTTATTTGTTTTTCTTGTACTAAAAAATGGGAGACGACAACTCTGTCATGGCAATCCGGGAGCATGCGCAGGTCTCCTAGGAGTTTCTCTTGCCGTGGCAACAGCACGTGAACGCACATAAACAGAATTAAGTTGAAACATTTTCACTCATTTACATGGCCTGGCAATTTTTCCTCAACGATTTCTGAGCTCTTGAGTTTTTGAGTGGGTGATTGCCTTGTTGTCGCTGTCGTTTCGCCTTTGTCGCAGACTCTGTCTCCATGGCTGAAACTGAAACTGAATCCGATGACGATGCCGATGCCGTGGCCGAGGTTGTGTTGCTGCATTTCACATCATTATCTTTGACCAAATACGGAACTATGCGCAAAAAACGCAATTGTGTGTCACTCACAGAGACTTCAGGCCCGAACGAAAAAGCTACGAAATGCAGGCAGAAATATGTGTTTCTTGTGCGATCTGTGGCAGTTGTTGTCCGAGTCCCAGTCCCAGTTCCTGACCCTCTCCACCTCGTTGTTTTGTACACCCACACAGGGAGAAAAAGAATATTAGCAATTTTCAAATAAATCTAATTAAGCTTGAAACAAGTTTGCTTATTTCTTTAGTTCGAATTGCAAATTTTGTAATCATTTTCCTAAGACTTAAAAAATGCGGAAATCGCAGAAAAATTTAAATAAATACATCAAGCATAAATTAAATTTATGTTTACACTTTTTTTACTCTCGCTATAAATTTATTTTTACTTTAGAAAGGGTTGTAAATTATTTCTTAAATGTCATTTAACCGTAACTACCCATATGTAACAGGCAAGCCAACTTTCTGGCGTAAAGACTTTTATGCCATCGGCAAACATAAAACATATCAGCGTTAAGTACACAAAGATTTATTTAACGAGGATATGAATATTTAGGAACTGGCGGGCAATTGGTCAGGCTTTTTCCTCTGTGGAGCCCGAGATCGGTTCAACAAACGCCACAATGGAAAGTCTCCCGTTGACGCACTACGCAATCGAAATCGAAAGTTCTCTGATGGACAGCTGCGAAATGCGACTTCGGCGGGGCAGAGTACAGAGTGCAGAGTCAATGCACCACCGCGATTGTGTGGTATTGGTGGCACTGGTGGCAGTGGCAGTGGTGATGGTGCCACATGAGTGGCACACATTTAATGGATGCACGTCGCTCACTTTCATTCTGGGCGTCTGCCCAACTTTCGATTTTAAATGCAATTTATGCACCTGTCACTCAGCCAGCTGATAACTGGCAACTCCGATTAGCCGCACTCCAACATCGCGGCTGGCTATTGTGCCCAACCGTCTCGTCGCCCTGTTGCAAGTTGCAAGTTGCCGCTTGCCGCTTGCCAGTTGCCTGTTGCCACAAAAGCCAATAAATCAGCGGACAAATTGTTGACAAAACATTTCGTAATTTAAATAAGAGAAAAACGCGACAAGCTGCCGATAGTCGCCAGCCGATAGTTGGTAGCATGCCACAAATGCAGCCCAGGCAAACAACTTCCTCATCCGTCTGGGGTCCGAACAACAATGGCAACAGCCCCGCGCAACGCTGGCAACAAGAAAAAAAATAAAAATAAATAAATAAGCTAACAAAAACCCACAGTGGGGCAGACCGATAATTCGCTGATTGGCAACCGTATGAGGTTTTTCTGGAAAACACCACCAAAAATAATGGAAAAACATCCAAAAGCTCCCCCTTGACCTTTTTGTCAGCCTCGAAATCGAAAGATAATGTTGACAAATCGAAGATTCGATACGCTGGAGGGGTGCTTAAGGGGATTTAACCTAAAGGAATACTAATATATTATAAATTTTAAGTACAGAACTTATTTAAAATAAAATATATACAATATTTTACAAGTCAAATTTAAAATATTTGGAATCAAAAGTCCTAACCTTTTGCTTTTCCTTAAATGTAATGTAATTGAGAATATCTTAACCGATTTTTATTGCTAACATAATAATAAATTCGACCTATACAACATATTTTACATTAAGAAAAACATAATTGCAAGTGTGAAATTTTCTTTAGCTTTTTAATAGGCTTTCCAGAGTGAAATCAACAACATCATCCTGGGAGTTTACCAAAGGCATATCACAATTTTTTTTTTTCTTGGCACTACCTGACATCCTCAAAGACGAATAGCTTAGTGGTAAGTGTTAAAATCGCATAATCACCTTAGAGGGTATTAGAGCCGCTCAATCTCCGCCTGTTTTGGGGCTGGGCGGCTGCAATCATAATCGCCAAAAGTCGTAGGCAGTGGCCGGAGCCACGCCGGCATACAGTTGGCATTCGGAGGCAGTCGGCAGTCGGCAGGAGTTGTACAACTGGCGACAAAATGTTGCATGTTCGTGGCGCTGTCACCGGGGCTCCGGGAGACTGGGAGGCTGGGGAATGTATGCAAAAAGGTGCTAAAAAGATCAGAGGCAGCGATTTATCTTCATTTGCATTTGACGTCGCTGGCTGTGTGTCAAAAAGGTGTTAAGTGCCAGGCGGCAGACCAGGCTCGAGTCATGAGCTTAGTTTCGGCTGCGGCGCCGCTTTTGATGGCAGCAGCAGCAGCAGTAGCCGATGCGCATAATTTTCTATATTTTATAACTCTGAGGTAGCCAAAAAAAAAAACATTACAGCGATTTTGGGAGGCAAGCTATGTTCACACAGAGGCACATCAATCCGCTGAGCCGCGGACGCCCAATAAGGCAAAAACCCCCCAGCACGAACCGTTATTATATGGCCAGGCAAATTTGCCAAAAACCCCGAGCGACACCAACAATGGCCACTTCTAGCCGGGCCAACAGCCAAGCAAAATGCCCAGAAAAAAAAGCACAGCCCGGCCGAAAGCGAACTGAACTGAACCGAGAGCTAAGCGCTAGATAGTCGCACCGATAAAAGGGACATGAAATTCAAATTTGAGTGCTGCAAATTCGCCTGGCGACTTATCAGTCGAGTGAAATTTGCAACCAGAAACGGCTTCCGTATTACGGCGTTTTGTGAATTATGTGAGAAATTTGTTAGTGGGCTAAATAGTTTACTGATTTGTCGATGGCGCAACACGGCGTATGAGTAACGAAAAGGAAGTGAGATCGTATCAGTAGATGCTGAGATAGCAGCGAAAATTGGGCCAAGCGAAGAGTTTTCTTTTAAGTAGAAAAAAAACAGAAAGATAGATAATTCTTTGTGAATTTTTGGTGCCTAAAAACTATATTTTCCAAGGCTAATTTTCCCATGGCAAGTGTAACAGACTGTGAAAACATGGCTGGATTTTAATAAGCGAGTAAGAAAAAAATATGAAAGAGAGGAAGCTCTGAAATTGGTGAAAGGGAAATGGCCGACAAACGATTTTAATTGCAGATTGGTAAAAAAATAATAGTTAAGTAGTGGCAAAAGCAGGCTTGAACGAATGATAGACTTGGGTTTATCATTATTTTTATTTGTATAGGGTCGGAAACGGATCCTTCACTGCGTTACCAGCTTCTGACTGAAATCATAATACCCTGCAAGGATACATGTATACACCCTTCATTCACATCCTTGATAACACTTTAAGGTGCCGCCTTTCTAGAATTCACCTAGGCCAAAGCTACAGCCGCATCGGATTGTAATTGGAACTGGAGACGGAGACGGAGACCAAGTAAGACCCCGAGATCGTGGTCGATTTGCGGCTCAGCAGCGGTGGTGTGACAGTGATAATCCCCCAAGAAATATGCACACAAATTAGGCATGCATGGGAGCCGGGCACAGGCCCAGGTCCAGGCTTAGTATGGGATGTCTTTTGAAGCGGGAGGGGCGGGCATCCAAAGGCTGGCCATTGTTGGCATATTTAAAGTTGTAAAATAGCAAACAAAACACGTTTGACCGACATTCGTGACCAAAGTGCGGCTGCCGCCGGATCGGAGGCTGGGGCTGGACCAGGATTTCAATTTCAATTTCGATTTCGCTTGGGCCGGCGACAAATGTGGAGCCAAGAGACCCAACTTCCAGCTCCCCATCCGAGCTGACCGTGTGACTACTTTGGCAAATGAAAATGCTTAGAAGAGAAATACAAGTTGGGCTGAGAGCGGCGGAGTCGAAATAATTTATGATGCACTTTCTGGGGCTGGGACTGGGACTTGGGCTGGGACTGGGACCTAGCTGGATGTGGTTTTAGGTGGATAACTCCGTGAGTCATGGGCGCTCCGCTCCACTCGCCGCCAGGTGTCGCTCAAACAAAAGTGAAACCATTCTGTGGCTCCCTGCCGCACTCTGTCCCTCTGGGCAACCAAAAGGTAGGAGAAAAAACCCACAGAGACCCTAAAATATGGCGCATTTGATATTTATTATTGTCTGCGTTTTAGCGTTTTAATCACATGGCCAGAGTGCACTGACCTGCCGCAACCTACGTACTGCGGCCAGCTACTTGTGGCTACCGAATTGCGGTGAAAATCCCTCGGAGTTGCAACTGCAGTTGGATTAGCTGTGCACTGTGAGAAGTACAAGGGATAAATTACATTGAAAATGTCTTAGGAATGTGTATTACTTCGAAGAAACTGCCTGATATCGAAGGCTTTCCTTAGAGATTTTATAATTTCAACTTCGGTAACTTGACTTTGTTTTAGTTTATATTTCAAGGTTGAGCTTTTCTCCCAGTGACAGTGTAGGCCCACGGCCCAGCTAACTATGTTAAACAGCGAAATCAGGCTCGGGCCAAGACCAAAGACCGACGACTCAAGTCTGAGGCCTCAAGACTAGGCTCAGCTCATGACTCCCAGCGTCATCAAGATAAAGCGCATGACATACGGCGACAAGAAGCTACCAGAGCGTGCTCCAGCGCCTTGTGCCAGGAGGAGGTCGCTCCATGGACTCCGACTATGAGTACGACTCCACCATCTGCATCTCGTCGCGTCGTCAGCTCACAGCTCAGCTCAGCGTCACGGCCAGAGCCTGGCTCGAACTGCTGCCTGGTCTTTGACCAAATTTGGTCAAACGTGCAACATTTCAGCCGCACGCTGTCAAAGTTTTGGCGTAGAAAGCGAAATTTTTGGCGGCA